ACTCTAACGTCCATTGGAACGAGGGGCGCAGTGCCACCAGCCTTCTGTGAGAGAGGCTTGAAGAAGATTTTGCAAGGGCACGGGCATGTCGCCAGTGCAGCGGTCAGCTTGTCCAGCGTTCCTCTGCATTCTTGAAGTAGAATCACCGCTCTCTTCCGCATGAACGCGGCAAGCTTGTTAAGCTTGGCTTGTCGGTGGTGTCTCCAGGCTCAGCGACCACGCGCCGATCGCCCTTCACCTTCGCGACTGCGCTCGGCATGACCAGCAGGCCAGTATTCCTGAGCACGTCTTTCGTGACCCACGTTGCGGAGAGATCCTGGGGCAACCGATGCGGCTCAATTTGATCGGTTCCCAGTTGTGTGCCAGCGGCGACGCGTGAAAGACTGCGTGGCCAAGGCTGCTCGTCAGGTTCGCGACGAACTTCAGCGTCTTCCGATCTCGGCCAAAGACTCCCGTGCCAAGGGGGGGCGTATCATCGCACGGAGAGCAATCGCAAGATGCATCTGGCGCAACGACATCCACGCGGCTCAGAAGCTGAAGGCCAGCGCCGCCGGCGGCGCGAGCTTCCTCCACGTGTCCAACGGCCGCGTCGAGCTCCTCGACAGGCAGGGGTTCGCCCTCATCGCGCACGCCGCCAACTACGAGTTCGGACATATGGAGGCCAGACTTGCTGAAAACAGGGCGGCTGGAGGGGAGGGGCGGTGGTCGAGGTTGAGAAAGACGAGCTGCAAGGATGCCCGAGAGGCGTGCTACTCTTTGGGCCCCCAAAGCTCATCGTCTCGCTCTCGCAGGGATCAGACCTGAAAGCCTGCGAGAGCCCCCGGTTGTCGCCAGGGGCCCCGAGCAGATTGCGCCCGCCCTGACCTCCCATTGGAAACCATCTTCGGCGCCAAGGCAGTTCTGGAGAAGGCCCTTCAGGAGTGCCTCGACAAAGTTGCTCCTCAGCAAGACCTCTTACCTCTTAAAGACTTCCAACTGAACCCTAGGACGTGCCCTCGAACTTGCTCGACGATCAGCCCCTGGCCCTGATCAGCTTTCGTTCGCAGCGTGGAAAGCTCGACCCGAACAACTTACTGCCCTGCATAAACTTATGACATATCTATGCGGCGGACGCGCCGTGCCCCTGGAGCTCAATGGTGGCCCCTTCGCTTTTCTTCCCAAAGGTCCGGAACCCGAAGATGCCCGGGGGCATGTGAGGCCCCCTGGGAACGCTCGGCCGCCTAGCCTCAGGAATACGGACACTAAGATCATGGCATCCGCCGCCAGCTTCCAGATCCGACAGGTTGCCCGAGAACGTACCCATGAGGCTCAATAAGGATCCACCCCAGGTCGCGCCTTCTTGCCCAACATCATCGCGTTGGACGCCGAAGCCCGCAAGGGCAGCATCGCCCCCGAGGCTGAGGAGGATGTCCCGATCTTCGCTGCCTTCGATGTGGAGGCGGCTTCCCGTCTATGGGCCACCAGTGGTTGTTCGAGATTCTGAGTGGGATTGGCCCCCCACCAGGTTTCTTGAATTTTACCCACGCGTTATATTTTTTACCCAGAGGCTTTGCTGATATTCAAAATCGAAGCGTTGTCCTGTTTCATCTCTGCTCGGGGGTCCTGCAGGGGTGCCCGGCATCGGGCTCTCTCTCTCTCTCTCTCTCTCTCTCTCTCTCTCTCTCTCTCTTTCTCTCTCGCTCCTCTCTCTCTCTCTCTCTCTATCTCTCTCTCTCTTCTCTCTCTCTCTCTCTCTCTCTACTCTCTCTCTCTCTCTCTCTCTCTCTCTCTCTCCCTCTCCTCTCTCTCTCTCTTCTCTCTCTCTCTCTCCTCTCTCTTCTCCCTCTCTCCCCTCTCTCCTCTCCCTCTCTCTCTCTCTCTCTCTCCCTCTCCCCTCCCTCTCCCTCTCTCTCTCTCTCTCCTCTCTCTCTCTCTCTCTCTCTCTCTCTCTCTCTCCTCTCTCTCTCTCTCTCTCTCTCTCTCTCTCTCTCTCTCTCTCTCTCTCTCTCTCTCTCTCTCTCCTCCTCTCTCTCCCTCTCCCTCTCCTCTTTCTTCCCTCACCTCTCCCCTCTCCCTCTCCTCTCTCTCTCTCTCCTCTCTCTCTCTCTCTCTCTCTCTCTCCTCTCTCTCTCTCTCTCTCTCTCTCTCTCTCTCTCTCTCTCTCTCTCTCTCTCTCTCTCTCTCTCTCTCTCTCTCTCTCTCTTTCTCTCCCTCCCTCCCAACCTCTCTCTGGGCCATTGCAATGGATCCCATTCTGAGATGCCTGCGCGCGGCCGCACAGCTCCCGCAGGCGAGGCGCCGCAAGGGCTCGCTGTGGGGTTGGGCTGGCGATGTCGGAATGGTGTTGCCCCGCCTTCGAGACCTGGTTGGTGTTTCCCGTGTTTTTTCCGGATGTTGAGCGTTTTGCCCTTCCCGGGCTCCAATGGGTCAAATCTGCACTGGCCCCGCTGTGGACCGAGTGCACGGAAGCTGTCCAGGCCAGGGTCCGAAACGAGCTTTGTAGGTGGATCCCGCAGTGGGCCAACGTTAAGATCGCTGGCCACGCAGTCTACCTATGGGGTCGACATGGACCCTGCAGCCACACTTAGCATGATCTGGGCTAATTAACGCAGCGGAGATGTGGTGGTCGAGGACGATTGCTCCGCCATGCTCTGGAGCTGGTTCTTCGGTTCTTTCAATTCTGTACAACACCGCCGCTCTCTCGACCCTCTCGTACCTCGCCCAGCTGTTTCCCATCCGTGCAATGATTCGCAAACTCGAACATCAGGCTTTGCACGAGCTGCTCAGGCTGCCGCCGAACAGCCTCAGTCTTGCTGATCTGAACGCTCTCCCACCTGCGCTCGCCATTGCCCCGCCCTCTGTCTCCTTGCTTGGATGGGCTAGCAGCTGGCGCACCTCTTTTCGCACCGTGCATCATGCGCGGCAGCATGCACTGCGCAGCGTGAAAGCATATGCCAAAGACAATGCTACGATACTGCGCTTCATTGCAGGCGCATATTCAGCGCCCGGCTGGAAGCGCCCTTTCTCGATCGCACAATTTATGGAGCGGGCGAGGCTTCCGCCCCCCTTTTCCCTGACAAGCCGGGATGGCACGCAGCGTTTCGCGCAGCGCGTGAACACGCCAAACTAGCCATCCAGGAGGCCCGTCGCCCGCGCCCACAATGCATGTTTGCGCGCGCGCTTCGAGCTGCCGTTTTTCCTGTTTCTTTTCCTGAGACGTTGGGCAAAAGGCTTCTCGCGTGGCAGGTCCCGGTTCCTGGGGGGCCGAGGTCGGTGGTCGGTCTGTGGGGTCTCTGTCGGGCCTGCATCGCGAGTCTCAAGCCTGCCCGTCAATGGAGTATTACCAAGACCCTCTGCGGAGCGTGGACGACCACGCACAGACTGCGCATAGGCAACGCACCCGCGAGCTGCATTCTGGGCTGCGCGCGGCCTGACGAGATTGCACACGACCTGCGTTGCTCGAGAACGCATCGCCGTCTTGCAATGCACCCTGCGCGGAATAGGCGCCACTTTCCAGGCTCGCCGATTGCATTGTTGGGACTGGTGGTGGCGTCTGACTACGGGCGGGCGGGATCGGAACTCACGCATGAGGAATGCCTCAAGGCAGTTGCATTGGCTTTCCATATGTACCACAAGGCGAAAGGCTTCGCTCAGAAGACTTCTGTCTCTGGAGCGCGCATGCGACATCCGAGGTGCGGCAGAGCTCGCACTCGAGCGGTGAGACGCTATCATCGACAGTTTGCTCTGTCTTTCATTCTATTCCCTGGGTGGTGGATTTGCCAGGTAGTGGGACGCGGGACGGGGGGGGATCGTTCGATGGTCCAGCGGCGGCGGCATGTTGTGGTGATGAGTCTCCCGCAGTGCCCTGTGCCTCTTTCCTTCCACCTCTTTTTTCTTGTTTGCCTTCGCTTGCGAGGCCTATATTTAGCTTCTGGTCTGCCTCGAACACCAGCTTTTTGTGGGCCTTGCTGGTGGCGGAAGTGGCAAAGGGTTTCGCCGCCCCTCGGGAGGCCGAAAATGAACCCGAGCGCCACCCAGCTGAAGCCCACTCCCTCCGTCGATGCGCTTGCGCCGGCCGAGGTCGAGGCCGGTGGTCGGACAGACTTTCATGGTTACGTCGTCTCCTCCTCGTCCTCCTCCATCCCTTCTCTTTGCAACTCGTTGTCCCTGTGGCGCCCCGAGGCCAGTTTTTAGGGCGGGCCGGGCGTTCCGCCTGAGACTCTGAAGGTGGAAAGCTGACAACCAGTTCACATGTGGAGGGCGGGTCGTTTTCACAATGCGGCTCTCGCCTTAGCGCCGCGCACGGTCGTCTTAAACATTTGCAATATTGCCACGGGTTGAGGGGGAGACGTTTTCAAACTGTGGCTCTCGCCTGAGCGCCGCGCGCATTCGTCTTAAACAGTTACAAAAGTTTCACGGATTGGGAGCGGTTCCTTTTTCAAACAGTGGCTCTCGCTTTAGCGCCGCGCACAGTCGTTTCAAACATTTGCCTGAGTTTCGCTGGTTGAGGGCCGTACCTTTTTCAACATGTGGCTTTCGCCTTAGCGCTTCACGCACTCGTCTTAAGCAGTTGCGAGGCGTTTCACGGATTCCCATGATCAGCGTACCGGAATTGGCGTTTTGGAAGGATTCGCGCTAATGGGCGTGCACAAATTATGTTTGGCACGATCCAGGAACGTCAAGGCGCAGCAGCCAGGCTGATCCGTGGCGTTGGAATCCCGAGAACAACGTTGTGGCATGCTTCAGGGTCTTGAACCAGTTGTTTTCCAACGGGGCAGTTCCCTCAGTCAAATAGGCCGCTGTCGGAGCCTATGAAGAGGGAGCTTGGGTGGGTGGGTTATTCCAACAACGTCGGTGCCTCTTGGGTTTACACTGGTCGTCCTCCTCCTCAGGTCCTCCTCCTCCTCCTCCTCCTCCTCCTCCTCCTCCTCCTCCTCCTCCTCCTCCTCCTCCTCCAACCTCCCGGGAGTTACGCGGGGCCGTTCGGCGCCTCGGGCGGGGTGGGGGGCGCGCGGGCCCAGGCTCCAGCGGGAACGGGAACGCCTGCGCCAGGAGCACGAGCAGGCCTTGCACCACTTGCAGGAGGAGCCGCGGCCTGCGCCCCCGATGGGGGGGTGGGCGAGGGGGGGGCAGGAAACGGGGACCGGATGGTAAGAAGGGAGGGTTGGAGGGAGGAGGACGAGGGCGGACCAAAGGGAGGGCGCATTACGAGGATGAGAAGGACGAGGACAGGGAGGACGAGGAGGAGGAGGAATAGGAGGAACGGAAGAGGAGGAAGAGGAGGAGGAGGAGGAACGGAAGAGGAAGAGGAGGAAGAGGAGGAGGAGGAGGAGGCGGTGGAGGAGGAGGAGGCGAGGAGGAGGAGGAGGATGAGGATAAGGAGGAGGAGGGGGAGGAAGGAAGCAGGATGAGGAGGAGGAGAATATGGAGGACGAAGAGGAGAAAAAAGGAGGATGAGGAGGAGGAGGGGAGGAGGAGGATAAGGATGATGATGATGCTGATGCTGATGCTGATGATGATGATGATGATGATGATGATGATGCTGATGCTGATGCTTATGATGATGATGATGATGATGATGATGATGATGATGATGATGATGATGATGATGGTGATGGTGATGGTGATGGTGATGGTGATGGTGATGGT